ATTTTATCCAATCTGATATCCTGTGTGTTTTGATTGGGGCATTTAGCCCATTTACATTCAGAGTAACTACTGAAAATATGAATTTAGTGCCATTGTATTACCTGTAAAGTCACTGTTTCTGTATATTGTCTCTGTTCCTTTCTGCTCTATGTTACTTTTGGGCTTTCTCTTTGCTAAAGGATCCCCTTTAATATTTCTTGCAAGGCTGGTTTAGTGATCACAAATTCTTTTAGTTTCTGTTTGTCCTGGAAGCTTTTTATCTCTCCTTCTATTCTGACTGACAGCATTGCTGGATAAAATTTTCTTGGTGCATATTTTTTTCATCTAGCACCCTGAATATATCCTGCCAGTCCTTTCTGGCCTGCTAGGTCTCTGTGGATAGGTCTTCTGCCAGTCTAATGTTTCTATCCTTGTAAGTTAAGAACCTCTTGTCCAGAGCCGCTTTCAGGATTTTCTCTTTGCCTCTGATATATGCAAGCTTCACTATTATATGTCAAGGTGTTGACCTATTTTTATTGATTGTGGGGGGGCGGTTCTCTGTGCTCCTGGACTTGAATGTCTATGTTTCCTTCTCTGCCTCCTGGACTTAAATGCCTGTTTCCTTCTCCAGATTAGGGAAGTTCTCCGCTATAATTAGCTCCAGTATACCTTCTGCCCCCCCCTCTCTTTTTCCTCTTCTTCTAGGACCCAATTATTCTAATATTGTTTCGCTTTATGGTATCATTTATCTCTCAAATTCTCCCCTTGTGATCCAGTAGTTGTGTTCTTTTTCTCAGCTTCTTTATTCTCCATCATTTTGTCTTCTATATCACTAATTCTCTCTTCTGCTTCATTCATCCTAGCCGTTAGAGCCTCCATTTTTTATTGCATCTCATTAATAGCCTTTTTTATTTCAAATTGATTAGATTTTAGTTCTTTTATTTCTCTATAATGGGATTCTATAGTGTCTTCTATGCTTTTTTCAAGCCCAGTTAGTATCTTTATAATCATTATTCTGAACTCTAGTTCCAACATCTTACTTATATCCATACTGATTAGATCCCTGGCAGTCAGTACTGCCTTTTGTTCTCTTTTTTGAGATGAGTTTTTCCTTCTTGTCATTCTGTCCAGATTAGAATAGATGAACAAGAGAACAAATACTAAAATGCTAAAAATGACCCCAGAGAAATATACACTAAACAAATCAGAAGAGATCTGAAACTGAAAAAAAAAATTAAAATTTTAAAAAAGAGAGAATATAATAAGACAGTTGAACAGAACAGAGCAATACACTGGAGCCTGTGTGTATTTTGGTCTGTTTGTTAGAAAAGTAGATCCCAAAAGTGCAAAGAAAAAAAAAACCATAAATATTTACAAAAATAAAATTAAATACAATGAAAGGACAGAATGTAACTGTAAAGATGAAAATTAAAAGAGAAAAGAAAGAGTAAAAGAAAAAAAAGAAGGAATATAAACAGGCAGGTGAACAGAAGAGAACAATACACTATATTCTGAATGTATTTTGGTCACTTTTTTAGAAGAAACTAAATCTTAAAATTGTAAAGAAAGAAAAATATATATGTAAAATTAAATACATTGAAAGGATAGAATGTAACTTTAAAGATGAAATTTTAAAAAGGCTTTAAGAAAAGAAGAAGAAGAAGAAGAAGAAGAAGAAGAAGAAGAAGAAGAAGAAGAAGAAAGAAGAAGAAAGAGTGAATATGATTAGACAGGTGAGGAGAACAAAGGATACATTAGAGTCTAGGTCTGTTTTGGTCTGTTAGAAGTAACTGCATTCCAAAATTGTAAGGAATTAAGAATTAAAAAAAAGAATTCATAAAATAAGAAATTGGTTGAAAAAGGAAAGAGAAAGAAAATTAAAGTGGAAAGCCTAAGGAATTGTGGGGAAAAAATCCATGAATTCTATATATTATTTTCCCCTAGTACTGGAGTTTGACAGTTCTCTATGATCAGTAAACTTGGTCTTAGCCATACCTCTTGTCCAGAGGTCTTGTCTTAGCCGGATGTTCTTGCTTATCTTCTCAGGGAAGGGCCTGTTGCATTGATTCTCAAGTATATTTGCCCCAGGTGGAGTTGCACTCCCCTTGTCAGGGGGCCAGCCTACGTTCAAGTGGCTCTGCCTTGCTCTATGTGGCTTTCATTCCCTGAAAGCTTTCTGTGCAGCTTAAAGGATGAGAATGGAAATGGCAGCCTCCCAATCTCCAGCCCCAGAGCTGAGAGCTCGGGGCCCCACTCTTCAGTCTGCCCTCAGGGAAAAGCAGTCAGTTACTCCTATCTCCCTGGTCTCCAGCCATACTCTGTGCTCACCCAGCCTGTGACTGACTGTTTCTATCTCAGGCTCATGAACCCACCTTGAGTCCCCAAACCCTGCAGATTCATGTGGCTCACACCAGCTCTGCAACCCCAAGGGGAGGAAGGGGGTCTCACCAGTTCTGCTGCTTGCTGGGCCCCTGCTTGGAGAGTGGTTGCTTGACCAAGCCCTGGTTCAGGGTATATGGCAACCTTGAGCTGAAAGCCCACTCCTGGGTTCGCTGATTGCAGCTGGCTTCCCCACTCTGATGCCTGGGAACGCTGCTGCACTCAGGCACCCCTGGTCTTCCTGTGACCCTGAGGATCCTGAGACCACATTGTCCCACCCAGGATTTTGCCCTGCTTTGCCACCTGAGTGCCTTTTAGGCAGGGGCGTTCCTCACCAGAGCCGACTTCTGAAAGTTCTGAGCTGCTATATCACTTTCTGGTAGCCGGCTTACAGAGGCTCGCACCGCCCATGGTTTGTCTTCCAATATATTGCCTTGGATTCACTTCTCTTCACCTCCTACTTTGCAGAAAGTGGACACTTTTCTATTTGTACAATTTCAGCTATTTTTTTCTTAGATCTCCAGTTGAGTTGCAGGTAGTCAGAATGATTTGATAGCTATCCAGCTGAATTCCTGGGACCAGATGAAATTATGGTCTCCTACTCCTCCACCATCTTGGATTCAGACCCTGAGAGAGAGAATTTTAAACAGGCTCCATGCCCAAAGTGGAGCCATATTCAGGGCTTGATCTTATGAGGTAGATTTAATTATCATCCTCATTTTGCAGATAATGTCACTGAGAAAGTCTGAGAGAGGTAAAATGAATTGGGTGTTAAACCAGCTATCTGACTTTAAATCCTGAATTTTTCTCACAGTAATGTGGAGAGCATGGGCAAGAAGTCAGGCTCCCAGAACCTGCCAACTTGTTTACATGTTTTATTTTTCTTTCTTTCTTTTTTTTTTTTTAAAGATTTTATTTATTTATTTGAGACAGAATGAGAGAGAGAGAGAGCCCATGAGAGGGGGGAGGGTCAGAGGGAGAAGCAGACTCCCCGCCAAGCAGGGAGCCTGATGCGGGACTCGATCTCGGGACTCCAGGATCATGACCTGAGCCGAAGGCAGTTGCTTAACCGACTAAGCCACCCAGGCACCCCCATGTTTTATTTTTCAATTACGTGACATTGATTCTTTTTGTATTGTTTGGACTTGTCTATTATAATAAATAATTCAGAGAGTTGTATATTTCTTCCATTGGCTATTTGCTCCTGTGAACTAATTATGCTACATAAAGTCATCCTTACAGCTGTTTAAATTATCCAACCAATCCAAATTCTTGTTTTGCTTCTTACAAGGTCCTGCTTGACTTGGAAAAAATGGGTGTTCCATTTCTCTCACTATATTTAGCTGCCTGGAATGGTAACTTCTACCTGCACTTTGGGACTTTGGCTCAAAGCCAGTGTGGTTACACAAGGGAAGGTAAAGTGGCTGGATTGAGGTTGTATTTTGTGTCAGCCATTTTTTTAAGGGCAGTATTTTGAGAAGAATGTTGCCACATGGCTGGAAGAAGTGTTGGGTTGCAAACATACTTGGTGTGGTTTGCTATGATTTTACTCATTATCTCCCCATTAGGCTGTCTTTATCACCTTGTCTTTTGGATACTTGCTGCTGTAAAATAGAGTTCTATGAAAGGTGGCTTGTTCTGTGCTTAAACCTGTGGCAAATCATCAACATTGCTCCTCTTTTTAAATTCCAAGAAGATATGCTAGGCACCAAGGAAAAATTGGCTAGCATTTCTTCTGCTTGTCATGTAATCATTGTATTCCCTGACTGGGAGAGATTTTGAGAGGTCAGCTTGTTCTTTCTACCTTGTCCTCATCTTCTTGACATGGATCCATTAAAAACATCCTCAAAAAAGGCATCACATTTTATTAAACCCCTGAAGAGAGTCCAACTTCTTTTTATTATTAATTCTAGTGTTTATCACTTTAGACTATATTTAAATAACACGAAGAAAAGCAGATGATGACAAGTTTGACCAACTCTGCAGTCCTCTTCCTGTTTGTTTTGGCCCAATACGTAGCCAGTTAAATTGACTATGTAAACTTCAGCTATGAACATGGAAGAAAATACGGACTGGATTATGTGATACTCAGGTGAAAGACCTAACCTTATCATCAGCGAATTCATCCTTTAACTAATTTCAATCCCTGAGGATACAATTCAAGTAAACCTCCTCTGAAACTGCCATGAACGGAAGTGGAAATAGCTTCTTGCCATTTGCTGTGTAAGAAACATACATATGTACTGGAAAATAAGAGAAAAGAAACTTTGGACTCTTAGAATAAATCATCAGAGAATTTTTTGCTGCTCAAGTCATCCTAGGAACCTGAAGTTGCTCACTAAATATGAAATTGCTTATAAACAATTTAGGACAAAACCTAACAGTTCTAAGAATTTGGTAAAAATTAACTATTATTTAGAGAAAGCAGTGCCAGGGTTTAAAATGAGCCTTCCACACAGAGGAGGACAAAGGAAGGTAGGAGCAGAACCAAGCTGTTGGCCTGATCATTTCTGCTGAACAATTTTCATAACTTTAGGGAAGAGACTTTCTCAGTCACTACCCAAACATACCTCTGTGCAAGACAGCAGTATTGCTTCCATTTCATTTAAACACCTACTAATCTGTTTCCTATTTATCCACAGTTGACCTTGTCATTCTCAAATCCTCTTGTGGCTGGCTGAAGATCCTACTCTATTACCATCTGAAGCAGAAGTGTCTGAATTAGAATGCCTCTGCCATCTGAGTGAAGGACTATGCCTTGTTGGGGCCAACAGATGCCTAAAGTATCTAATCAGATGAAATGAGGTGAGAACCCCACGCTAGCACTCTGAGCAGGGCAGTGGCATTGATCCCCATTAGAACTGGCAAAAGGATGCAGCTCTTGGGGTACATTCCCACCAGTGGACTCCTTTGGCAGTCTTTTACCTGTTTTCAAGCACATGAATCATACAGTTTACCAAAATTATCCAGGACACTTAAGAAAAATACAATTTCCTCCCTATTATCCGATATTCTGATCTTGTTAGTTTGAGATAGGACCCCTGACAATGTTTTATAAGCTTTGTAGATGATTCTTGGAGACTTTCCTTTAAGTAATTGAGCTTTTCCAAAGGAATCATTTATCTTGAGTGAATGGGGGAAACTCTTTGAGCTTTAACAGTTTGCTCACCTATCTAAAAATGTAATATTTTATAGGGCTTTGGACAGCTCTGATTTAGTTCTATTATTAGCCCTTACTGAATTAGTTATATCTGCAGCAAAGTTCAGGGAGGACACCCAGGTCTTTATCAGGATTTCCAAGTAGGACAGGCTCTTCTTAAATCACCCTTAGTTTCTGAGATGTGAGCTGGTGGTCTGTGTGAGGGGTCAAAGAGCCTGATTAGCCCATCTTCCCAGGCCCCCCACTGCAGGATCAGCCATTTTTTTTCCCCCCCGAAGTCCTGCCCTGGCCTGGAAGTAGATCATTTGCTTACTCTTTATTCTCCTGGGCCTGGCATGAGTCCTACCACACACAGGTTGTATCTAGTGTGCTAGATGTGAGTGCTGTGTTACCTCTCTATTGGAACCTCCTCTTCTCCTTACATTGCTGACTTCTGCCTCAGTTTACCAGTGTAACTCTCTAGTTCTTCACTTGATCTGCAGCTGACCTTGAGTCTTAGCCCACTACTCCAGCCCCCTGCCTTACTGCCTGCCTCTTGCCTCTTTTATCCTGTGGTCTGTTCTCTGAACCCTACTGACTAATCCTACAGTGCACAGAGTGGAGTATCCTGTGGGGCCAACGGTGGCTCCCCAGGCTTAAACTGCCTTCGTTGGAAGCTGGCTCTAGCACCTTCTAGCTGGGTGAGTTTGCACAAATACCTAACTACTTAGTTTCTTTACCTTACTTTCTTCCATCTTTATTCTCTTAGTTTCTTCATCTGTAAAACAGAGAAATAATAGTATCTACCTCACAGAATTGTAAGAATTAAATGAGGCAACACATGTAAAATACTTAGAAAGTATTTAATAAGTGGAAGCTACTCTCATGATTATTACTGGCTTACTGGGGGCCATGAAACAATTGCCTGCTTGATCATAAATTTTGTCTGCTAAATGGAATTTAGTTCACCACATCCTTAGGACATTGCCTATTGTGCTGCCCACTACATGTGTTCCCAGCTGCTTATCTCTCCTCAGCCCCTTACAGTGTCAGTGGTGTTTCTGGGGATCCTGTGCAAAGCTTGTCCAATCAGCCTCATTTATGACAATTCATTCTCTTCAATTTTCTTGCCTTTTTTTTCTTTAACTGGATTAACCAAGTTCCTTCAACTTCATAGACTTTAATTTCCAATCACTTGGTAATCTTTCTGCCTCCACTTTAAACCTTTCCAAATTCTTTTCTCACTTAGTTGCTTAAACCAAATGTGGTTTACAAAGGCTTACAAACTAGGCTGAGGATTCAAAGATTATCTTGGGGTCCCTATATGCTCTCCCTGATTCTCCATTCAGGATCATGGTAAAGTGTTGAACCTCAAATGCAGCTGTTCTTTGGCTGCTGACATGCTCTCACTCACACTGAAAATTTCCTGTGTCTTGTTATACTATTTTGCAAAAATTAATAAGATCTCAAGAAACTGCTGATCTATTATCATGGAGGGCTTAGTGGTGGACTGCCTCTTTTGAAGTGGTGAAGATAAGGAAATAATGATGGGATAAGAAGAGAAAGAATATTGCTATTTATTCAGTAAATATTTAATTAGTACCTATTTTGTGCCAGGCGTTGGTCTAGGCGCTTAGGAGAATATGAATGAATAAAACAGACACAGATCTATGTCATAGAAATTTTCCATCAAAGGTGGACACAAAATCAATAGTTGTATTTAAATAAAAAACATTTTGATTAAAATTTAGAGGGATGTATTAGAGTTTAAGCAGATCATTGAAGTTTAGGAATTACGACATTTTATTACATGCTTAGCAAAATACAGATGTTATTAGTAATATTTAAATTAGTAAACAATAAATATAATAAATAACAAATGTAATCAGCCTTTATCTTGATATTTTTCAATTTTCAAAAGTTAAACTGAATAATGAGAGGCATGCAATTTTATCCTGGTGATCTAGAATCTTCTAGAAAGTATTGATGAGGCTGTGAGGCTCTAAGGTAAATTGTGGGTGGCAAAATTTACAAATACTGTTTGGCAGTGATCAGTTGTCCTCTAAGAAGGATTGGCAGTCTTCTGGATTAAAAAAATCAGATCTTCATTTATTAGGATTTTCTGAGTAGTAGCAGGGGTGATGTCCCTGTCTGGGGAGAGGTAAGGGTGCTGGCAGCGAGAGTGGTGAGAAGGCAGGCGTGTTGGTGGCTTAAAGATCATGTTCTCCACATGTCTATGTGAGGCTGTCTGGTGGGTGTAAGGGTTATTTCAGGACATTCTGGGGGCAGCAAAACTGACAGAAGATACAGAAAAGGGAGGGTAGTTTTCCCCCAGCCTTTAAAAATAGAAATCACATGGGGAAGAGTCACATCTTAATTTTTTATAAACTAACATTTCAATATCATGGAAAAGAAAATTACATAAAACTGTGTTTTAAAATGGTTCTGATATTTTAGTATATTTAAATTACATGTTAAAATATTTTAAAAAATAAAGAAAAGCTCTTCAAAGAATTAGAGTGGAAATTTAGAAATTTGGAGCTAATTCAACAAACTGTATTTGAAAATCCAGCCTGTATTCAGCGTTTTTTCAAGATCCTGGGAATGCAATAGTTGGCTAAGACGTTTCTCTAGTTCTCAAAGAACTCACAATATAGTAGAGGGTGAGGGTGACACATGCAACACCGAATGAACACTATTCATTGTTGTAGATGGTCTATCAGACTAGATCCCCTCAAATTACTGTGGGAGGAGGGTGGGCTGGTTCTGGGAAGTTTTATTACCAAGTTTTTTTTCTCTTTTTATCCTTGTGTTTTATGGTTTAATCATAAGTGTAGCTTTGTATGCAAATCATTGCAAATCCTTTTGAGAAGTAAAAAATGTCCTTAAACAATCAATCAGTAAAGATAATCCTCTGATAAAGTAAAATTTGGATACAAAAATCAGACAAGAGATCAAAGTTAGAGTAATCTTAAACCATTACGTATAAAACACCCCTCAAAAACAAATAGGCTGTTCCAAAAAAAATCTCAGAGTGAATTTGCTGGAGGACTAGTCAAAGGTCATGTTGTTTCCTGATTCAAAGAGATTATCATGGGGGGGGGGGTGCAGGGGGGGGGTTGGTCGGATTTCCTTACATTCAGTAGTCTCCTGTTCCTTTTACTCTAGTTGAGTAAAGGATCACAAAGAATCTGGTCAGGATTGGGAAGAGAGGGCAACTATAAAGAAGGAGGATTCTCCATATGGGAAGACTGGCAAAATTCTAGTTCTGGGGGATTATAGGAGGGGAGAAATGGGGGCTGCCTAGGTTATTAGGAAGAAGATGGTTAAAACCTTTGATCCTGGGTCTGATCCCAGGGAGCAGGTTGAAGAGATCCTAAGCTTTCACTCAGTAGCTCCAAAATACAATCAGATGAGTATAGCCTGAATGTTTCCAATTCTAAAAGTCAAGATAGGGAGAAATTTTGTTTGGGCCCGAGAAGCAATACTGCATTAAATTAAACAAGTAGTGACAGGAATTAGTCATATGATGGAAGGCCCCACTTTATTTGCATGGGTTTGCATTTCTTTAAATCTTATTTTATGTAGTTTTAAAACTATATTTTGTATTGTTTATAATTAGCAATGTTAATGAGTAGTTTTTATTTGTATGGTTACATTAGTAAAAGCTTCTTTTATACAAAAAAGAAAAACCGACTCATATGCTAAATAATCTGAGAGACTTGTCTGGTGAAAACTAGGTGGAATTCATAACATAACTGAGGACTCCATTGTGTCTCCTAGTGTCAATGACACAAATTGCAAGCATAGCAATCCTGCCCAAGAAGAGTTACCCAGCCTTGTAAATCCAAACCTACTGAATAATGGTAGATAGCAAATCATGGCAGGGATTGGCTGGCAACCACTTTAAATCAAGAGTGGAGCATACTACATTGTCATTGCTTACTCCTATTTGGTCATAAATTTTTTGAGTGTAGGGACTGTATTTGACTTACCACTGAATCTCTGGAGCTCAAAAATATGGGATGCATAGTTGGTATTTGAGGAAAATTATGAAATGAATTAGAAACTAGGATGAGGAGTGAGGAGGGAAGCCAAAAAGGGATGTATGAGGATCTCAAAATTGAACTGAATTTGTCTTCCAAATTTGCCTAGAATCCTCCTTGGCTTTTCCTATGAGCCATAGATGGTTTACTTCATCTAAAAGGGCTTATTATGGGGCACTTGGGTGGCTCAGTCGGTTAAGTGACTGCCTACGGCTTAGGTCATGATCTCAGGATCCTGGGATCGAGCCCTGAATGGGCTCTCTGTTCAGCGGGAGGCCTGCTTCTCTCTCTCCCACTCCCCCTGCTTGTGTTCCCTCTCTCACTGTGTCTCTCTCTGTCAAATAAATAAATAAAATCTTAAAAATAAATAAATAAATAAATAAAAGGGCTTATTAGGTACCAAAGAGAATCTTAATTTTAGTTTTCAAAGTGTAGATTTGTCTTTCCATTGAGAGCAGATTTCTTTTTTTTTTTTTAAGATTTTATTTATTTATTTGAGAGAGAGAATGAGATAGAGAGAGAGCATGAAGGGGGGAGGGTCAGAGAGAGAAGCAGACTCCCTGCTGAGCAGGGAGCCCGACGTGGGACTCGATCCCGGGACTCCAGGATCATGACCTGAG